GGCTCACAGATTCATGTTTTCCCCTTTGCTTACTCTCCTTCACAGCAGCTACCTCTGCCAAATCCCAATCATGATATATAGGCTTGAAAAGAGTGCAGAAACTTGCTGCCAAACTGCAACAAGACAGCTCCAAGATTCACTGGAAAAAGCCCAAAGTGTGGGTGAGACAGTGCGGCATATTACTGAAAAAAAATTAAGAGTATAGAAAATTGGCAAAAGCCATGGTCAGATATTTTACTATATCGGCACATAGGGACTGGATATAAAAACCTATTTTTTAACAGCAAAAGAAACCACAAGTTAAAAGGAATTATAATTATATAATCTGTTTCAATTAGACTGCATGTCCAGTTACTATGGGAATATGTATGTAAATAAACAACCTGACTGCTACTATGTACATATGAAATTGAAGCACACAAAAGAATCATTAAAACAATGAGCACTGAAAACAGTGGGTTCAAATAGAACAAAGCAGTTTATAATACCAGTAGCCTGGTAGCAAAATGTTGCCAGTAACTGGACATGGTGGCTAAGCCCTGCCTAAACCCCCCCCCCAAATATCCCTTCTACTGTGGTGGAATTACATGTACTTTCCAGACATTCACAGTATACAGTAAAGTATATACTGAAGTGCTAAAAAAAAAAAAAAAAACCAAGCTGTGAACACTGTTGATGGCAGTGGATGATACTGGGAAAGAGCTACAGTACTTTACAGGTGCAACAACATTGAGATATTTCTTTCATTGGTCAGTAATGTTATGATGACATGCAGCACATATCCTTAACAGTTAAACAAGATCTTGGCAGTTTGAGGCTAGTCACATTTGTAACAATGGTTAAAGTGATAGAGGGAATTAGCAATTAAAGGAATGGATGAACCAACTTTGAAGAAAGGGAAACGTTCAAAGCAGGAAAAGACTAGGTAAGTCACAATGTAGAGAGACCTTGTGGGGACATTTAAGTCTTAAATGACATTGGACCATTTTCACTCTATCCCACAAAATAAATATTGTCTCCTGAAACTACCAAAGGAAAGGACATTCAATGTTAATGACCATCCTGCTCAGCGGTTTAGTAAAAAGAAATGGTAACTAATCTGTTGTCAAACAGTAAATATCGTCCTATGAATTATGCAGCTGCCCGCACAGCCAGCCAGCAAAAAATGTAACACTTTTCATTTGTTATTGACAACTATCTTGGGGCAGTTTGAAACTTTGTAAATGATTGAGTGTAGCAACATTTGTCAAATTTAACCTCCAGTGTCTGAGTTATGTTATTTTTATGTCTTTGTAGTTACACTCTATAGCTTGTCAACAGCGGAGAAAAGGAGGAATTATGCCCAAATGCAGGTATTCACTTCCTGTCATAAAAACTCATGCCCACCAAGCAGAACAAAGCAGAAGGGGGCCACTGCTACCTGCGGCTCCATCTACACCACAGTAAAAAATACCCAATACAACACAGCAGCACAGTATCGAACAGGTATTAAAAAGACAAACCTATCACATGCAGCACATTGATGATTGAGCAGGAAATGAAACGTCCAATCAGTGGTCCAATCACTCTGATTATGAAAACCTCACTACTATAGTGAGATGTATCATTCATAAAACTAATCAGGACTGGCTGAGATATCACGTGTTGGTTAAATTAAATGTCAGCGATGGTCCTCCTCCTGAAAACACCAAGACAACAAGGCAGAGAAATGGCAGCCAGACAATCAGAGCTGAGGAGAGAAAAAAATAAACTCATAACCATTTCCAAGCGAGTACAAAATCAGCTGTTTGAGCAGCAGATAACACATAACAGCATAGCGGGCTATTTGACAATATCTGATTTTCCTGTGATCTCTGACTTGATATCCACCACTCTGAGCTCAACTGTTTTTTTTCTGAGAGCTGAAGTAACTTCCTGTAGCCGTCAGTGTTGCCAGGCAACTTTGTTCTCTAGGACATTCTATCAGGAAATGCTGTGGCCTGCAGCAAGTTCAAAGACTGTGCTGTTTCTCTGAAAGACTCAGATGGAGGCTGCTGATAATGGAAGATGGGTGATACGCACAGACGGCGAGATGAAGGGGGACAGAGTGCCAGCACTATGGAGCTGCCATTAAGACCAGATAAGAGCTGAGAAATAGCAGGTGTGTGTTGGGGAGTAGGAGAAAAGACAGTAAATGTGTATATACGTGAGTGTGCAAGCACAGAGAATCAAGAGTGGGGGACAATATGTCATCCAGTGTATCTTTCTCTATATACACACATAATATCTTTCTGTGTAAACAAAGCATGCTTTTACACACTTGGTGTGGTGTATGAGTGCAAGCAAAAGCAAGGGAGACTATCTCAGTGCACTTGCAGGTGTGCACGTGTACACACACGATACAATAGAAGTTTATTGTCCAGAATACTATACCATTACACTCCAATGAGCTGCTAATTACAATGAAAAGGCTCTAATTACAGTGTAAATTGGACTGGATGCATTGAAGTGCCTCAGTGCTCTTACCTTTCAGTGCAACACTGAAAGAGTTGGAGTCCAAATGTCTCCACAAAAATAGTAAACTATGGAAAATTGGCCACCGGAGACAAACATATATACCAGTTAATGTGTCTCTGTGTGTGTATGGTCGAGAGCTACAGTTATACGCTAACACACATATTCTGCATAAATGTACCATCTCTATCACTTCAATATAAGGAATCACACAACACATTAAAAATAAATGTCACCTTGCACTCTTTCACTCTCACACACATACACACACACAGGCTGTGACAAACACACACACATTAATAATACCCAACTAACTACCGAAGTTCAGCCTCAGTGTTGCTCAGGGAGCAGGTTTCAGCACCTGCGGTGAGAGCTGGGCTCAGCTCTGAAGTGGAAGCCTTCACTGTGGGGACTGACACAAAGTGAAATGCAATCACAACAAATACCAGGGAAATGCAACGAGAGGAGGGAGGGAGTGAGGGAAAAGAGAGCCAGAGGGGGAGGGGGCGTCTGGAACTAGAAAAAAGGAAGATGAGGCCAAGAGAAAGTGAGACCCCTGGTGATAATCTGCAAATGCTGCAGGTCTGATGCTTCAGCTGTGTGTGAGACTTTTTACTCATGCCTGTGTTACAATACTTGTGAGGACTTACTCGATGTCTGCACTGATCTAGGGAAGACTCCTATTCTTACCACAGCGGTCTCATAGAATAACCTGCACATAAATCAAAACACTTCTACCTTCCTTTAACTTCGAAACAGCTCTCACTGTTCATCTGCTACCTGTTTATGAAAGCTTTAACTCAGCCTGTGCCTCATTTATTGTCTTTCTATTGGTGACATCGTCTGCTCCTCTTATTTTAATGTCAACTGTTAACAGGCTTCTGTATAAGTAACATTAATTTCTTAAATCCTTGAACTCATACTGCAAATCTGCAAACCACAGCCTCCATAAGAAACTGAAATATATTACTGATAATGGCAATTATGCCATCTCTGTAAATATAACATTTGAAATAAAGATTGACTAAATCATTCAGTTTACTTGAATTTGTTGTTGCATGCAGGAGGAAATCTTCCTCCTGCACGCAACAACAACAGCATGTTCTCTCTCAGACACAGCACACCATGGTTGTGCCTGTGTGATGGAAATGAAAACTCCTCTCAGCTCCTCTAAAGAATAGTAAACGGGTATGTGCGTGAGCGTGCATGTATGCTGTACTGTTGTTGATACTGGTCACCCACACAGTCATTTGAGGATCCACATCACTCTCTTCTCTCAAATGGTGATATGCAGAGAGTCATGGACAAGAACAAGAGCTACTGCTCTTGAACACACATGGTTTGTCACTACAGCACATAAAATGGCTGATGTGATTTGATTACCGCAGAAATAAAATATATCACTACTACAGCAAGGTTATATCATGAGTCTCACATAAAGTTTCTATCTCTCTTTTATATAATCATTTCGCCATCAGTATCAACAAGGTCATTTCTTTAGCAAATCACCGTTCATGTCTCTATCCTCCTCTTCCACTCTTCCCTCCTCACTTCTATCCATTCCTCAACTTGGACCATTACCTGAAAAAGCCATTACTTGAAAGCTCCTCTGAGAGATGAGGCTTGACTTTTAAGTGATACTGTCATAGTTGAGACAACTTTTTGGAAACACTGAAGCCAAAAACTGCAATTTAATTTTTTTAAAGGCTAAATACAAGGTGAGCTTTCACATTTGCAGGGAATGTTTTTGCATCTTTTACCTGAGCAAAGTGCACCATTGAGGTGACAATAATCATAAAATTGTTAAAAAAAAAAATACACTCAAAAACTGTTCAAACACTCATTTCCAGAATTGCATTTACTGCCTGCACTGTTGACATCTATTTCCACCCATTTTCAAATAGCATTTTCATTTTCACATTTTTGGCAAAGCACTAATGTCCCCCTCATTTGAATCACAGGTACACAAGGCATTAAAATTCCTGGGGAGTATCCAGTTGTTTTGCAGACCAATTATAGACAGAAAAATGAGCAGCATTGGGATTTTGCTCAGACTTCCTAAATACAACCCAGTGCTCAAGCATGCTCGCCAGGAAAGCTTTTTCAGTTTCAGTGAGCAACATCCCCTCACGTCTGCCAACTTTTCTTAACAAGTGGTCAAAACTCTAGCACCACACAGTGCTGACACCTGCCTTGACAGTTCAGAAGAAATATTACTACCTTGGGAATAAGATCTCTTAACATCAGGCTACAGCCACATGAATATTTAACAATATTTTAATACACAACTATTAATTGTGTGCACTCGGTGATTAAAATATGATTAAGTAGAGGTCCTGCCATAAAACTTTTTTTCCTCAGTTTCCCTCGGGAGCATTTTCCCTAATGTAATGAAATGGTCTGGTTAACCCAAATCTTCAGGAAAAAGCCTGACAGACTGAAAGCAGAGATCATCAGAGCTTTGTGGTTGACGGATACTGGCTTCAACACCAAACATGCAACCATACCTGTCTGGCGAGGTTGACGGCATCTGCATGAAGTCGGTCTCTCAGATGAGGGTCCAGTTGGAAAGCCGGCGCAATCTCCACAACCTTCAAAACAACAGGATTTTATTGATAATGCCACAGTGAACACAAGATTTTCAGAATAAAAAAAGCAGTAAAGTGTCAGTGTCAGGATAACAAAGTTTACATGTTTCAACTCAATGATATGCTTATTACCTATAAAACCTTCAACTGAAACAGTTCTAACAATTCATTTTGACACTTAAAGTGAGATCTGGACTGCAAACAAAATGTGGAAAATGGTCACTGACAGCACTGTATTTTCCATTGCATGATCTATTATGTTTATCTGCTCTGTCTGGTGTTTGGTTTTGGGCAGGTAGTGTAAAGTGGGAGTTTTTTTTTTTTTTTTTTTTTTTTAAGTGAGAACAGTGTTGAGAGCTTTGAGAACAAACCAGAACAGTAACACTGCAAGCTGTAAAATGAAAACAATGAGCCGACAGATGCTGAAGCTCCCCATAGAGGTGCTGGGAAAAGCAGGGATGGGAATTAATTCTCTATTGGTTCGTCACTACAAGGGATCCCTCTCGCATTACAATCATTTCATCTGCTGTACATAAAAGTATCATTTAGTGCAGCTTTAAAGATACACTCCCCCTAAACCCCAAATTTTTCCCCTAATTCACAACTGAATTTTCTTTTTTCCTACAGTAGGCATACGGTTGATACAGTATGTGACACTTAAGCCTCAGCAAAACAGATGGAGTGAATCATCTGTAAACACATTCAGCCTTTCATTTGGTCTGGCCATGGCTGCTGGGGTAGGGTTAGGGTTCACCATGTTGGAGGCTGGTCTGTTTCATTCTACTGTGTCAAACAAGTCAAACCATCCAAGAGAACTAATTGAATCTAGTTCACAACAACGTGACCCGTGTCTGATTTCAAAAAATAAAAACCACAACAACTCAATTAAATTTTTATCAAATCTAAATCTAAAGCAGCACTTTCAAGACATTGAGAAAAGCTAAAAATATCCCATCGGCGCTCTACCATCTCAAATCTATTTTAACAAGTGACTATTCTTGTTTCTGAGATTCAAACAGATCTTAGATTAAGGGCAAAGGCAGATTAAGTCTCACAGAATTAAAGAACAGCAGCTTTGGCATGAACAGAGTCGCTAATATGATTATCATCTATAATTTGATTAAAAGGAAAGGAAGAAAGTGATGAAAACACATGATTGAAAGTGCTTCGAGGTGACAATAAATTAAACATTACACATTAAACAGCTTCCTCTGATGAAAGCATTGTCATATTGAGTGACGATTAGATGACAATTTCCATTTTCTCTTTCATGTGGTATTCAGACATTTGTTATTTTTGACAATCAGGTGATGTCAGAATACCTAATTTCCTTCCCATGCCAACAAGCCCCCCCCCAAACAAAAAAATAAATAGAATCCTGAAAATACCATTCATTCTGGGTAATGAATGGTAATTCATTTCAAAGCTATAGATGCAAAGAAACTGTTTTTGTTGATCCAAGTTGATTTGGTGGAGAATTATATTGCTGCTGCAGTTGTCTCCAAGACTTCTATTCATCGGCAGTAGCAGTGGCTAATTTGAATTAGTATTGTATTGTATAATCCTCTTACCCCCTGCTGCTCAGGACCTCTATGATACCCAGGGCCAGTAGTACCTCAATCATTGCTCTAATCAGGACTATAATTACCTTATTTTTTTTATTTATATGTTGCTCGATTGCCCCGTTTGCCTGAATAAAAGGGAAATAAAGCACTACAACCTTTAGTATAGTCAGTGGACTGCTTTGGGGTGCGATTCCTGCTTATGACCTTTGTTTCACATCATCCACTTCATGCTAATCTACCTAATACAGAAGAAATGCTATGGAGATGATCTTAAATACATTCAAACATTAAGTTGGGTTAGATGAATTTTAAAATGGGGACTTCACCTTTTGGTGTCTTCGCTGAATGGAGCAGTCTCTCTCATAGAGGTGGATGACATTACCATATTTATCACCTGGGGAGAGAAGAGACAAATAGGTGAGAAAATGACAGAGGAAGGTTAAAAGAAAATTATGAAATAATCAAGAGTGTGAGAAGGAGGAGTAGTTGAATAGTGTTGTTGAAGTCAAGTGAAGGAGGTGTGAAAGAAACATTGTTTAGTCCCAGGTTCAATGTAGAGCTTTGTCAATCAAAGATAGCCTGTGTTGAAATTTTTACAGTGTCAGAAATTTAGGACTAAATTTTCGTAATGTGACCACTAGCTGGACTATACATGCTGTAAAACATACTCTTTTGGAAACAACAGTTAAGGGGTTTTTCAACAGCTCACTTAAATATCTTTAAAATTTGTTTTATGATCACAGATTTTTCCCTGAAGTGCTCTGAAGCATGGGGAATCCAGCAAAAGACTGGCCAGAGAAATGTCTCATTATGAAAAAAGACATCCAACATAATGTTATACTTATCAAAAATTACGTTTGTATTACACAGAAAACCAACTTTTTTAACATTTTCATGCCAAATCATGAAATGAATCTGTCAGTTATTTAATAGATTACTCTTTTAGATATTCAGTTTACAATAACACAAAACTGAGAAAAATCAGCAAATCCTCAAACCAGAAAATGTTGTATTTCTTCTAAAAGAATTACTGTAAACAACAAATCGCTGAGCCTCTTATTGTAATAACAGCTCAAACAGCCAGTGGAGGTCAACAGCTATAGTCAACAGTAAATATGCTGGCAGAATAGCTCACTAGCCAGCGCTGGCTCAACTGCCTCTGTTGGCCATGTAACCCTCATCTTGTAGATATCACTTTGGTGTTTATCTATGTTAAGGCCCATTTAAAAACAGTGCCAGCACGAAGGCCAAGGACTTAGACTTGTGATGCATTTTAATGACAGTGATGCAGATGGGTGATGTGAGTTGATGACATGTCTCTGCATGCACACAGTCCAGACCATAATTATTTGGACAGTTACACAATTGTTTTTCAGGCTCGGGGGTTCTCCACATTCAATTTTAAGTAAAATAATGGCTACTACATTAAAGTGCCAAGTCTCAGCTTGAATTTGAGTAGGTTTATGTTAATACAGAAAGAACAGTGTGGGGGCTATAGCCCTTTTAAGGCTGGGGTAGGCAGTAATTTTTTGGCGTCACTGGGCAAAAATTCCATCATTACCTTTCAGCATAAGGTAATTTGGCTAAACAGGTCTTTTGGGTCATTCCTATTGGCTGTTCTACAAATGCAGATGCGTGTGCATGTCCCTCAGATGGATGTGTGTTAATATCAGTGAAGTGTTATAGAGATGGAGAACTTGTACTTCTTTGTATAGGTAATAGGCTGCTAACTTCCTTTTTCGTGTTATATCTACAAGTATTGTAGTGGTTTGTTGTGTAGGTAGATTTACAATGAAAAGGCGATGAGTTGCTATGTGGTTATGTTGAATGTTGCTTATAGTTTAGCCTTCTGCTAACTGTAGCCAAAGCCTCATGGCTGCTGCTGTGTTGCCTGTTTAGCGAGCATGTATGGAGCACATGCATATTCCTGTAAGGGGAGAGCTGCAGGAGGGTGGCTGTCTGGCATTTTTTCCCCCCGTTTTTCTAGATTTCTGCCTACCCCAACTTTAATAAACAGTCCCCAAAGTTAAGTAGTTCAAAAGCTACTGGTTAATATTTGGTGCAAAATCCTTTGTAGTCACAGACTGTCTGAAGTCTTCAACCCAAAGACATCACCAGAAGCTTTGTATCTTCCCTGGTGATGCTCTCCCAGGCCTTCACTGCAGCCACCTGCAGCTTGCTTATTGTGGGTTCTCTCTGCTTTTTAGTCTTCAGAAAGTGGAATACAGCTCAATCAGACTGAGCTCAGGTGATTGGTAGCCAGTTTAGGATATTCCACCTCTTTACCCTGAAAGGTTTTTGGCTGTATGGGTAGGATCACTGTCCAGCTGGATGATGAAATGTCATCCACTTAGTTTTGATGCATTTGGCTGAATCTGAGTAGGTTACACAGAGTGCTCCTGTATACCCCTGCATCCATGCTGTTGCAGTGAAATTATCAATAAATTGTAGTGTGCCAGTTCCACTGGAGACATACGTGCTCAAGACACCAAAGAGTTACCACCAAGTTTCACAGATAAGGTGGTGGCTTTGGATCATGAGCTGTTCCTTCTTTTTGTCCAGACTTTCCTGTTTCCATCATTTCAATAAAGATAATTTTTGTTTCAAAGACTTGGCACTTTAATCTAGTATACATTATTTATTATATTATTATATTATTATAATTCTATGTGCTGAAGCAAAAAGACTGAAGAATAAAATGTGTAACTGTCAAAATTCTTATGGTGTACACTGTATACTGTATCACCACATATTAATCTCACAATCTGACATGACCCAAAATTGATGACTCATCTCACACAGTATGACCTGCAAGATCACTGCTAGTTACAGTGTTTAACAGGCCTGAGAAGGAAAGTTGTAGAGAAATGTCAGAGCCAAAATAAACTAAATGAAACAGAGGGAATATTTAGAGTAGAAGAGAAAGTAAGGAAGGAAAGTAGGGAAAGGGGTATGCAGGAAAAAAAGAGGGCTGGCAAAGATATGCTTTTTAACAGGTAATTCAGAAATTTCACAAAATCCCCTGCATTCCCTGAGGACAGTAATTAATCACAGTGACCAAGTGACCACACACACACACACACACACACACAGTAAATTCTGTGTGTTGCATGCACACATAAAGACAACCCTGCTACATCACAGACAAATGTATGTCCAATAACTTAAGCACTTCTATTGTTAAATAATAACCGTACACACACAAATACATATTCACATGTAGAGTACAGCATATGCTCTAAGAGCAGACACTTCCTATAAGTGTCGGTGTTGAATTGCAGTTCTGTAATATTGAGTGTTTGTAGAGTTACATCCACTATAATGAGAAAAAGTAATGGGTGGAGAATCCTCTACTGGCCAATAAATCTTATTCACTCTCATTGCTCATCTGTCTCTCTTCCTACCTTCGCCCTGCTTCTGAGTTCAAGGAAATCGCAGAGTGCACTTACCAAGGATCTGTACTTCAATGTGTCTTGGCTTTTCAATAAACTTCTCAACAAACAGGGCTCCATTTCCAAAAGCCGTCAGAGCTTCAGAGTACGCCCGCTGGTAATTCTCCTCGAGTTCCTGATAAACAGACCAGAAAAATCCATACATATCTGAGTTAGTGCTAGTGTTAGTACCATTCAAAATGCAAAAGAATTGCAGCAAAGATTTTGTATTGTTTTCAAGAGGCTTTGCTGCTGCTGTATCAGATCATTCACTTGTATTGAGTACTACTTCTATTTTCTGTTTTAATCTGTATTCTGTCCCTCATCATTCACATGTCATGTTGTACAGTTTTATTTTTTTCCTTTTTCAGACATGAATGTTTACACACCCATAGGGAGCAAGATTTTACACAAGATTTCTGGGACCAGGCTGTAGGAGGTCACGACCAAACATGCTGAAGGTCATGACTCAATCTGTCTTCGTCAGTCTGTGATGTCCCGCCTGCCCATCCTGTCTTCTCTACTGGGGAAAGACTGAGTCACCATCATTCTCTCTTCCTAGTGCCTCAGGAGAGGATACTCGAGCCCATCCTCAGCTGTCATCTCAGTCTTGAGAAAAGATATTCTGTAGTGCTTTCACACACGCACTGCAACCCTGAATTATTTCAACATTACCCTGGGGAGCTGCATATGAGAATGCAAATGTCCGAATCAGTTGGACCAGACATTAAATGGACTTTACTGTGCCAGCTCCCTAGTATAAAGTCCATGTAATGTCCGATTAAGCTCATGCGTGAATAGAGCCGGTCATTGTCCAGAGAAATCACATCGAGTAAGTACTGCAACTGTTGTGTGCTGCATGTGTGAAAGGGCAACTCTGGACAATGTCACACAATGTCAGGACCTGATTATCTGGACATTGTCAGGAGGTCATATGAGAAAACGGCTTTGGTGCTCAAGGCAGCAGTAGACATCACCAGTGCCCCCAAAAGCGAGTATAACAGACATGAAAGGAAACTATGAAACTTGACAGACTGACCAGAAATTCTTCCACTGAGTGAAAAAGAAAAGAAAAAGAAAGGGAATGAGCATATTTCACAAAATGTCAAATCATTAATTTAACATTTTATCCATCTCTGATCATGTGTCATTGTGCATGAGAAATTACTTTTTCCCCCCATATCAAGTTTGAATTTAGGAGTGCAGTTTGCTAGTACTCAGTGCTTACCAAAAACATTACAAACTACACTAGTTAAATAACCACTTGACGCACTTCAGTGGTATTTGTAGGTAGTTGAATATTAAAAAATCATTTCCATCTCCACCCTCTCCCACTTATCAGAATCTACTGGAAAATTAACTTCCTGGTTACAAGTTGTTAAGGAATTTAACAAATCGTTAGAAACACATAAAGCTAACTGAGATATTAAAGATTACCACAATGACTCAGGCATTCATTATAACTTGCACTGAGTGAAGTCCAAGTCACAGACTTCAGACTTTGCAGAGTTGTTAAATCACTGGTGCACCTCTATTTTTGTAAATGACACCAAAGACTTTGAAAGACTCAAAGTTAGCAGACTTCCATTTGTACTCTTTCCACATCAGCTCAGTCTGTCTGTCAGCTTTGGCCACTGGAGCTTTGATACGTGCAGTTCTACTCTTCTCTTATTCTTTCAAAAAGCACATCACGTCTCTGAGCAAAAATCTGGTACTTTCATACTTGCCTTGCTTATCAGTAAACATACACATCTTGTCCTACAACATGTTGTGAATAGTTAGTCTCACTCTGTTAATTCAGCATACAAATGACCCACAAGCTAGCCTTAATGGAATAAAAAGTCAACCTACGCATTGTTGCTTGGGGTCCCAACAGTGCAGAAAAACCTCTTTATAATTTCCTCACATCATATCAGCTGGAGCCGCTGAGGCCCCTGTGACTCAACTGAATAACTAGAAATGTCAACAACTAATTAGACTGGGGTACAACTCAGAAAAGGTCATACTTTCCAATGGATTGCTGACTTGTGAACCTCAGTGGCTACAGTACAACACAACACTGCCATTCATTGTGTAGATGAGTGAGTAAAGCATGGAGCCTCTGTGGCTGACACTGACCAATCTTGTTCAAATGAGATATTTTTCTATGAGTCAAGGGTTTTATCGAATGTCAAAGCCAGAAATTATAACAAGCATTTTTCTGATCCTTATAAACCAAACAATCAATTAATTGAGATAATAATCAGCAGATTAAATCAACAATGATCAACAATGAAAGGAATCATTAGTTGCAGCCCTGAAGGAAATGAATAAACATTTTATAAATGGACTGCACTTATGTAGCGCTTTTCTAGTATTATCAACCAATCAAAGCGCTTTACAATGGACACCACATTCACCCATTCACACACATTCATACAGCACTTCAAGGACACTTCAAAATGCAGACTGGATGAGCCAGGAATCAAACCACCGACCTTCCACAACCTGCTCTGCTGAGCCACAGCCGCCACTTTGCATATATCTAAATCATACATTAAAAAGTGGGGTAAAAGTGAGTGTAAAGAGGGAGTATATTTTATATGTTTGATAAACCTCAATATTCTAGGCAAATGTGGCGTTCTGAGCAAGAAAAGAAAAAGTTATAGTGCTGAATTGCATGACCTTATTTTCTGTGACTTAATTGTTTTTTTCTTTTTGCCAAATCAAAGAAGTAAAGAACAGTAAACGCTACCAGCCATGAAGGCTGAGGAGGTAGATTTGCTCTGTGTAGCTGTGATTCACCACTGATCTCTGCCCTCCTCTGTTTGACTGGACAACAACCAACTGCCTGCTGAAAAGGTTTGACTTAGTCAAACTTGAGCGGCAGAAACAGCCGAAAGCCATGCTCATATAGACGGGCATTTACCACACACACTCCCTCCAGTGCCCCTACTACTACTGGAAGAAGAAGCAAAGCTGCTGCCAGGCCTCCACTGAAATAAAAAGGAGTGACAACTTGCCACTTCCTGGTGTCAAGCGGCCTGAAGGTGTTCATTTTCTCTTTGAAACACATATTTTGGATAAAAAGGACATTAAACAGCTTCTCATATATTGATGTCCTGAGGTAACTTAGAAATTGTGTTGGTTTTATTTGGTCATTAATACTTTCCAACATTCTGTAATAAAAACAAAAAAAATCATAATTACTCCACCACTGAACCGTGGCAAGTGAAACTGTATTATTGGTTTCACTTGGTCCAGTTTTCCAGTAACAATCAATTAAGGTTAAGAGTGTTTTTCTTAGAGGTTAAAATTCTACAACCGTGCTAAATTTTTCACAAGCCTCTCCTAAAACACCATTTCCAGTGAGTGAGCATATGTTGGCTGTCCATGCTGATGAAAAGTTTATGAAATACATTTTAAGTGATCAACACACAGCATACTCAACATAGATGAAACTAACAGCAGAAGAACTGTATATGCAATCTATAACTACACTTAGTGAATTATGAAAATGTTGTACGTTATGTATACGGCAGCCTATCACACAGTCCGCTTTCAGTTTTCTGGACTTCATATAGTGCATTTATTGTTGCATTATGAATTTAAGTACGTATAAGAAAGTAAGTGTGACTTGAAGTAGATGCTGGCCAAAGTTGAGAACAAGCCTGCAAACTAAAGGGGACTGGTCCTCAGGTCAATCAGTCATGAAATTGTTATTCCTCTAAGAGATTTTCATCAAAATAAGGTTTGTAAAATGTAGCTTCAGTTTCCTTTTTCCCTCTTTTTTGTTAACTTCATTTCATATTTTGACAGTCTCAATCATTTTATAATTAACAATCTCAACACATCTTAACTGAACTACTTTAACTCTTAATTTTCTGTTTTTTCCCCCTCTTATATCCCACTCCCCCAATTTCCCAGACAATCATTCCTTGTCACATCTCTCCTCTGTGTGTGTGTGTGTGTGTGTGTGTGTGTGTGTGTGTGTGTGTGTGTGTGTGTGTGTGTGTGTGTGTGTGTGTGTGTGTGTATCTTGGTCACTGACTCAAGTCACAATGATTGGCTGAGTAGAATCACATGACCAGTGCCATAAAGGCTACAAAAGCTGCGCCGGTTTAAATATACACTTCTTCAAAATGTTATAATTCACAATAATGTATAGGTTATAGAAGCAGATAAGACCTGAATTGCGGTCCTCCTATTAGTGACCTCTGCACAAGAGTTAAAAAGCTAAAGATATGGAGATACTGAAGGTATGGAGAAACTGAAAACTAAAGATAAAGGGAAGTGGCGTGTTGACCAGATAATATTAATCTAATGTCATATTAGAACCAACAGCAAAACAATTGTTTACTAGATTCCAGCATTAAGTAAAGCATAATGAAGGGTTTTCTCTGTCTTAATGGGGCTGAAGATGAGGAGGATGGTGATAGTCTGGTAGATGTAAATACATGGCTAATTTCAGGGTACATTAAGTTATCAAAAACATTTCTTAAAGGAAAGTATTTCTCCCGCCTGTAGCTTCTCATATCCTAATCATATCTATTTATGTAGAATTACATGCATGTCATTTGTATTTTAGGATATTTTATCATTTGAAAATCATTCATGTTGCAACCATGACGTGCATGTAAGATCATCTTCACACTGAGATGCCTGTTTGAAAAGTGGGCCCTGAATAGTTACAATATTGAAACTGCTGATGAAGGAGAACAAGCGTCCAACACACAGAAATCCCTCAGGTTTCTCTAGGTGGCAGAAGTAATTTCAGAGCAAACACAGCAGCACACACAGAGTGATTGGCGGCTAGAGAGATAAATGATCAGGTTGTAATTTCCAACCAATTTCACTTTGATGCAACACAAACAGAAAATTAATGAATATGAGAAGCAGAATTTGTCATGAGGCTGGGCGGTCATCAAGTTGGGTTTGTTTTCTCCTCACTGGACAAGCATTAGGACAAGATTTATGCTGTTATAGCAAGCTACTAAATCACATCTCTCACTGAAGTGATCATGTACAGCAGCGACTGACAGGCTCACCTCGTACTCTCTGACCACCCTCATGCCTCGACCACCTCCTCCATAGGCTGCTTTGAAGATTATGGGGAAGCCGTATGTTTGGGCAAATGCCTGCGCCTCTTGCAGGCAGGAGATGGGAGAATCTGTTCCTGGGACCACAGGTACACCTAGACAAAGGTGGGGAGAGTGAGAAATATGTTATTGTAAAAAGATGCTAACTGCTGTAAAACAGGAAAAGGGCACTCTTAATCCAGTACAAAGAGAGCTTCAACATTTCTGACAGTGGCAGATGGAGCAAGTAGAGAGCTGAAAAAATATGTTCTAAAAATATTCATCCCCTCCAGTAAAGATGAAATTAATGCTTGGAGGGTAAAAGCCAAAGCAAAAAGCTCACAGGGCAATGCCAGGGTGAGAGGGTGACGGTCGTGTGGGAGTGAGTCAACATCATGACAACAAGCAGCAGGGTCCAGAGTAAATTTGGTTTAAATTTTCAGAAACACAATCATTAATAAGAAACTCACATAGACATGATACTATCTTGTATCTTGTCGTTGCTCCAATTTGTTTACAGTCAATATAGAAATTATACAAAATACTACACATTGGAGTAGATATTCAAATTATGATCGTCCATTTATCTGAATCTACTCTTCCATACCTGCGCTGATGGCTAGTGAGCGAGCCTCCACCTTGTCTCCCATCTTGCGGACTGTCTCTGGGGTTGGCCCGACAAACATCACTCCTGCGTCTGTGCAGGCCTGAGCAAAGTCTGACCGTTCAGAGAGGAAACCGTAGCCTGGATGGATAGCATCCACGTTGTTGTCCTAAGATGTTAGAGAGGGATATACAGAGAAAGGGTAATTTTCATTATATTCCTCTGTGTGGTACCTGTTGAACTGAACATTACGGCTTTGAAATTCATCCTAAAGTTAAAACTGAATTTTAAAAAAAAAATGTCCACAACTGAGTAAGCACGTGCCTAAACACTTTTTTTTTTTCACATGTAATTCAAAGTGGTAAAATATTTGCTAATCAAGCCCAGAGACAGGAGATGTAGCCCAGCTAAGCAACAGGTGTTCTGTTAAACAGGGTGCGGGGCCCCAGTTAACACTTGGCTGACTATTAGTAAGGGAGCTGAAAAGTCATCACACACACTAATCTGCATGCTTTAGCAGACGCTGCCTGCTCGCCAGTGAAATTTTTTTACATGTAACTAACAGCAAATGGACTGTGGGCTAATGACATATTTTACTCTCGTTCTATCTTAGTGGCCCTCATCATCATCATCATCATCTACTCAATGGACACTAGTGGACCGAGCAAGTAGACAAACACGCTTACTTTGGGTCGGGGAAGGTACTGAGAGGAACACACATGAACACACACTCACAGGGTAGCAGACAGATACAGTAACTGCCGAGCTTGACAGATAGAGCCATCTCTGGATCAGTATGTGCCATCTGCTCTTGGATATGAGACGGACTATAATTACGGGTTGTCCCGTTGTTAAGGGAGCCGTTACTGGCAGGCCAGAGGAAGCATGGAGCCACACATACATGTACACACACACACAAGCAGGTACACCCAACCATTTACTCAGACAGATATGAATTCAGAGAGATATACACAGCATATGAAGATTCAGACACGAACTAACACAGCACCCAAGGTAACGCATTCATACAAACAAGATCGTACACTCATGCGCATTCACATTTGCAAGCAGACACACACCATCATATACAACATATCTAGAAAGACACACACAGAACATAGTGGGACAGAAACTGGAGGTTATTTTGGTCACAGGGTAATAGAGTGATACACAGTGGGAAGAATGACGTACACTGAATGTGAATGAGTGAGTGAAAGAACACACACAGACGGACACACTCCTTGCTGGCATAGGGTGGCTGGCCTCCCAGATAGACAGACGGATTTTGAGAAATGAGTTGGACAGCAAAGGCTCCCCAATTTGGCTGGCTGACCACATGCCCACGCAGAAAATTATAAACCGTGAGAGTTTGATCAGAAAAATGATAATGAACAACTGGCAGCACATCCTGGAGGGATGGAGAGATGACGGGAGGGAAAGGTGGCAACAAGAAACAGATCTGATGTAACAGAGTGATAAGTGGCAAAGGGAAGCGAGGGAGAGAGATACAGAGATAGAGAGATAGAGAATGATAGTGAAAAGGAGGGAAATAGGGGAGGGAGGAATCAACGAGATGAAAAATGAAGGAGGCAAGGAATGAAGGACGAAGGGAAGGAAGAGATGAACATGTGGACAGGTGTTTGAGGGATGGAAGTTTTTTGCTTTTCCTTCCCAGTTCCCACAAACCCAGCTAGGTATAGACTGTGTTAACAGAAAGGAATAGAAGGAACTTGTCTGTCACTAGCCTGTTTAACTGTATGCCATTAGAATCCATGAAATTTTGTTTGTCAGCGTGAGGCAAGATTTTCCAACTTCAGAAAGGTAGCAGGGCTTTTCCTGAAGATCAAAAGTACAGTGAACCACCCAAAAATATTTCTTCAACCACCTCAAGACCGAACTTTAGAAAAAAAAAAAAAACACCTAGCACTGCAGATCAGGACAACACAGTTGCCCCTAAAACTACTAACTGTCATTTTTTCCTATTTCCTTCTGTTCAGGTTAAATAAATGAGACAACATAGTAATCAGTCAGCTTTAGGTGTTAGTTGGAATAGTTTTTCCACTTTGGACAGAGCCAGATGAGCCGTTTACCCCTGATTTCAGTCTTTATACTAAGCTAAGCTAATTACTTACTGTCTTCAGCTATTTACAGTACTCTGTAACAGACATGATATAAAATCCTTTCATTTCACTCTCAGAAAGAAAGCACATATGCAAATGTTGAACTTTTCCTTTAATGCTAATTAAAGACTTCCTACAACTACTTCAAAGTAAAAGCCTTCAAGCAAAACTAACTGATAGCCTATTTAAGCTTAGTTAAGTTTTTGAACATTAAGAGGAATTGTTCTTAATCAAAATCTGTCCTATTTGCACCACTTATCAGTACAAGATGGGGCAGATGTATGAGGGCACACTGTAAGCTGCTTTCATCAGTATATACTGTTTATATGTTGTCCAGAGAGGAGCCAGGGCTCTTTATTGTATGGAAATTGGTGGTGGCATTCTATTGTATATGTGAAGAAATTCCTTGAAAACTTCAGACACATATTTTAGTATCAAACATCACAAGTTAAATTTCCCTTTAAATCTGTAAAATAAACCAGTAAAATAAACAACATGAGTGTTACTATTAAGAACCATCTTTTATACTATCTTGTGGTGAATGCTCTTTACCTTGGCTACTTTGATGATGTCAGGAATGTGCAGGTATGCAGCAACAGGTGGGAGGCCTTTGCCAATCAGGTAAGCCTCATCTGCCTTCTGCCTATGGAGAGAAGTGCAAAGGATTTACATTGGTGAGGTGGAAAGAGGCCAGAAAGTTACACACAGATATACACCTTCACAAACTTCTCAACCAGTATGGCTGCATGGCAGCATTTCTAAGCTAAGTAAATAATTGGCAGCCATATTTAGTAAAATAAAGCACATTACTATGATTATTGAAATTAGCAGTCTTAAATAAGTCTTTTACAGCTTTTATGTGAAGAATGAGACAGAAAATGAAATGAAGGTGATATAAAGAGGGAAGAAGGGATGAGAGAGGACGCAGAACCAGGTGGAATTAAAAGCCTACAACAAGGTGTATTAGTCAGTGAAAAAATAGAGACATTAGGAAGTCAAAGGAAAAGCTCACAGTGAAGCAGATGAACATGTTTGTGTATTTAGACTAAGCAGTGTGATTACCTCAATGTTTGTAATGTCAATACAATTATACTTATGTCCCCACTTAATACCAACCGCAAAACAAATGACTGGCCCAGCACTGGAGAGCAGAAAAATGCTCCCCAGTTTCCTTTAATTGCTGTTGGCTCAAATCCATGGTTAGCATTTTGTGGTCGATACCCAGCAGTGGCAGCACAGCAGTTTAGCAAGACATCTGCCCGTTATGCTTTCTTTACTTAAACCACTGCAGACCTATTCAGCTTTAATGTAGCAGAGATTATTACCTGTGCATCTGCCCAGTGTCTTGTTCAGAGTAGATGGCCACGGTTCGAATCCCCAGTTCAGTGCAGGCTCTGAACACACGGATAGCTATTTCACCTGAAAGACAGGAGGGGAAAGAAATTTGTGAGGAATGAAGGAGGTGGTTTATTCATTTATCCATATTGCTTTGCTACATTTGGCCCACTGATGTTCTTTCTTTCCCTTCCTTCCTAGATGATGTTCTTTCTCTCCGTCACTTTTATTCCCTTCATTACTTAAACGTGTCTTCAATTGTGATCCAGAGTTTAGCGTGCGTGTGTGTGTTTGTGTGGGTGTGTAGTGGGAGGTTGTAGTCCTCAGTCTTTCATCATCTACTTTACATAAACACAGACTTTATATGATTTTATCAACATCCTGTAGCATTGGCCCTATTTTGCTGCTAATGCCTCCGCTGAGAGAACAAAATAAACTTTGAATTTTTTATGCCATACATGAGATGTGAAAAAGATGAATGCATTTGGTGTACTTCATCGCAATGTGCAAAAATATCAACAGACACTGCAACGAGTCTACTGTTTTTTTATAAAATTTGAGAACACAGTGTAAAATCTCAGCTTTAGACAAGCAAAACACTGCATGCCTTTTATCTTCCTGTCACAAGAGCCAAATACTTGTTTTTCAAGCAACCACAGTTTGGGAGAGAAAACGGTTTAGTCACCGAAAACTAGCAAGACGATGTGTTCTTGCTTGAAGGGGAGGACATTTGAGGAGCATTAAAAAAAAAAAAAGGGAAAGAGAAAGTGAGCAAGAAAGTAAGTGAATGAACAGTAGGCACTTAAAAGGATTGAAATATGCGAGGACAGAGAGGAGAAGACGAGTATGAAAAGCCAGACAGTTGAAATGTAGTTGATTTAAGGTGAGAAATCTAGAAAATATAAGGTCACAAAACACCACAAGTTCAGAAAAGAAAAAAAAAGGTCAGAGGACCAACATGGAGGTTTTAGAGAATTGTGGTACCAAAAGAAACGCAGTTTGGCAAGTTTAACAAAGTGACAAATAAGAGGAGAGGAGACGAGAATAGCAGTGAAGGGGGAAAAAGGAGGGCAATGAAGTAAGGAATGAAAAGAGGAGAGCGAAGGGGAGCAAAGTCACAGGAGGCAAAAAGGAAGACAGCAAGTGGCTCAGAGAAAAATCACATCTGACAAGTGCTGAAAAAGACTGGAAAGGGAGAGAGGAGAGGAAATGAGGAGAGGAGGTAAGGGAGGAAGAGGAGAGAAGAAAGCAAAAGAGAGGAGAGGATATATTAGAGAGAATATTAGTGAAAGAGAAGCAGTGATGGCAGAGAGGAGATGTGCTTGGTGAAGTGGAATCTGGGCTGATATGATATGATCGTCCAGTCTCTCTCATCTTCACACACACACACACACCCACACACACACACACACACCCACACACACACACACACACTTCGGTGCACTCCGGTGTGATGAATGTGATCTAATGTGGTGTTGATATCACATCACGCCGATTGTGAAGGAGAGAGATTGACGATAAGCCCTGCTGTGTGTGAGAGAGAGAGAGTGTATGTCAGTGTGAGGGAGAGACCACAATCTATCTGAATCAAATTAATGCTGTTAAACAGAGCACCTATGGGAAAATAGAGATGAATGTATGCATGTAAATGTATCATGTGCACACTGATGGCCACCTCTCTGGTCAGCGTAAGCATTAACTGGAGGGGGTCCAGTGATTATAAGTATTACCAGAGCCTGTCAGTGATGTTTACGCCGCCACATGTAACAACCATACTGGTGACTGCTTAGTGTTTAGAAAATCTGGGCTTCTCTATAATTATATTTCCATTCCAGACCCCACTTATGGTGTTTTCTAGCAGCTTAGAAAGGAATGAATGAATATCATTTTGCCTTCTGGTGGTTCCAATTTGTTTTGTGGACAAAATATATTCATATTAAACTGCATAAAACATGTTCCATGTAGATTCTAGGGAATGTAGAGATTTCCATGCTGTTTTTACTTTAGCTTCCATAATCAATAATATTCAAATAAATATTTTTGTGACATTAGGTGGAGCACACAGTTCAAAAACAGTTCAATATAACATACACAACTTCCTGGTGTACAATGAAGGCTGTAGTAGCTGTTCCAACTCTGATTCCAATATTTAAAGAAATTCACTGCTTTTGGGTTAAATCAAACAACGCTAGCTTCTGCAGCCACCCACGTACAATGTGTGCTTAAATATTAGTATGTGCCAAGGCAAACTAAATGGTGGCCATTAAAAATTAAGAGAGTCTGTTCTTTTGCCGCAGGAAGATTGTAAATGTCATAACTTTTTTCTTACATTATACATGAAACAGCGTTAAACTGTATTTAACTTAATGGGACTATCTGAATTGCCTGTCTTCCTCAGTGGTGAATTAGAAGGGATGTAGATAGATGGGCAGGGGTTTTTACCTCTATTTGCCACCATGACTTTCTTTATCGGTCGATACTCGCTCTTTGGGGCAGAGTGAGCAAAGCGGGAGAGAAGACACACCCGCCTCACAGACAGCAGGCTGAGGCTGCCTTGGACAGCAGCGTATCTCAACATCCTAAGAGAAAGAAAGACAAAGAAAGTGTTTGACATACACAAGCAATGTCCCTGTGCACTTAACAGCAAAAAATTAAGAGGAGAGGCAAAAGATACATACTAGCTAGAGATGGAAGCACATGGATGAAGACAAGATGAATTTTAACAGACTCACAAAACAAATACTTAATATATGCTTTTTGTGACAGGATACCCAACAGATTCTCCATCCTCACACTTGAGATTATAAAAAAATTATACACATTGGTTATGTCAGAAACAAGAAAAGCAAGTTACTCTATACATAAACCATTTGGCTCTAAGTGAAATCAAATCTAGATCAAACAAACACAAATGTCTTATCCAAAACCTAGAGCTCATACTTTCTTACAATCTCTATGTAGGAACCATTTGCGAAATTTAGCTTCTCAGGTGAAAAAGATGCTTGAAGGAAAATGATAAGAGGATGACGATGCTTTGGAAACGATTAAACAAGGTGTGAGCCCTGTTTAGAGAGATTAAATCTACTAAAGCACCAGGCCCTATTAAGTTGTTGCCAAGGGTTGTGTGTGTGCCTTTGAAATGTGTGGTATATCTAAGAAAATTGGCCTTATACTAATATTTAGAAGGAATCATGAACCGTTCTGGTACACTGGGAGAAAAAGCTGTATTGTGTATAAATGATTTGAGGCATTTGGCCCTGACTTCTGTTATGAAAGTTTGTTGTCATTGATGGTTTCTTTATAGGATGGCTGGAAAGATAGATGATAGAGAATAGACTTTGCCATCTTGAGTTTTCAGTCTAGTGGGAGATATTGATTTGAGTTATATAATCATTGTATGTTATGTACTAAAATGAACCAGAATCTATATATACTGTACACATCACTAGTCCTTGGTAAAATACTGAAAAACATTCAAAAAGTTCTCATAAACACACACATTAGCTGATCATTGGATGATACTGGGATCTGCTATCACAATAAATACAATGAAGTGGTCCTTTAATAGTAAAAGAGACCACAGAGATTGTATATAAACCCAAAGCGTAGTCATATTAATTAAAGACACTTAAACTGTTAATGTTGATGATGCTCTCTTTTTTTATGATATTGAGAATTTAACAATGTTAGCAAACTAATAAAAAAAAAGTCTGGCTGGAATCAGAGCTCATGGCTGATTAAAAAGTCACACTCAAACTTGTTCCAAGAAAGCAATATTACATCTCCATGAGAGGAAGGTGGGCGTTAGAAAACCAGTCAGCTGCTGCTCTGCTTACCAGTATTCAATCAGCTGCAGGTGTGTCTAATTAAAGACAATGAGTTTCTGGTGTGTTTGTGGTGTGTTTTTCCAAATTACAACAATAAAATGAAAGCATTAATAAAATTTTTTCTCCCCAAGAAATTTCAGATACATAAGAGAAACTATGATTGAACCATACAAACTGCCCCCATTAGTCCCACTCATAGACTTAATTGTTGGAAAGAAACAAACTTGCTGATATTTATCTTTCAAAACAAAAAACAATTTTGTCTACAGGGACAGCAATTAGGGTGACTAAGCGGTACAGACTTGCTGTACATGAATACCGAACAAACAAGTTTGTCTTAAATTCATTGTCAGTTGAGGTTTTTTTCACTTGGTTTAAGGACTACAGTCAAATACACCGTCCAATTATCACAAGGAAAAGCAAACTTTTCCAGTGAACAAAACACACACAGAAAAACAAAATATTCATTCCACCTAAGACTAATTATGGTTTGAAGGCTGCATTTACAATCAGTAATGCCCTAAACTCAAGTGACACAACACAGACAAACCTACCACAACCACATTATGCCATCAATACACATTAACACATAAACACATGCATGAAGGTGAAAATAATCAACTACCTCCTCAACTGGATGGGAAGTGGCTCAGTCACTCTGTGGAAACTGTCAGCTTTAATGATGGGAGCTGTTTGATAGTTAGCCCAAGACTATAGAGGTGGAAGCTTCTTCTGGTTTGACCACAAGGCTACACCCCACTGACAGACCTTTGCTGCCACACTGTGGTCAAATAACAGCAATGCAGTCAAATGGAGACGACAAGATGTGGTGGAGCCACTATTGGGAATCCCTGAGTTTTCATAACATGAATCAAAAAAGAAACCCTGACTGATTATCAAGTTATATTTAACAAAACATTTGGTTTATCATACACTTAAGGACTCAAGAAGCACTGCAAAGGTCATATCATAAAACTATACATTGGACATTAACCCTTTACCAGACACCTCCATTTCTGTGCACAAACCAGAAGATAATGTACCCAAAATAAAATTAAAATATTACTGTTCTTCAACCCTTTAGATTATAACCCTAATTATTCACCTGTTTTGTGCAATATACTCTACTTTAACTTCTTATCAGGTGCAAGATGGGATAGTATTCAGCTCATGGAGCATGCACTGGGTGAAAGATAAGGAAACACTGGACAAGTCAACCATACTGTAATAGGTCTCACATATTCACACAAATTTAGAATTAATCTTACAATTAAATGATCAAACTCACTGGAATATTTAAGCCCACTGACAGACTCACCCAGATTAAATGGCATGAAGGAAGTACAGCCAAAGATTCATTCAGAGCTTTCTAATTCTGGACTGATGATGTTATATAAGATTAGATGTGTCATAAAATCTTAGTAAATGACCAGATGATTGACTTAACTATGAAGATTTGAATCAAGAACCAATCAATCAATGCTTTTAGACGATGAATGCCTTGAGACTGTCTGAGGACAGCATGCAGAGTGAGTTCAGGCTGAAACTGTATACTGTATCTACACAAAAGCAACAGTGACCCAGTATGAAACAGATACTTTCTCAAGGCCTGAATACAACAGAGATACAACAGCAGACAGGGCAGAGACCGGAAAAATGACACAGACAGACAAAAACAGATCAAATATCATCTGTGTACTGCATTTACATTACTTCTTCAACACTGCTGAATTACAACTTCTTAGCATGTAAGTATAGTTATTGTAAAGTAGGATCAGGTTATATGGTCTCTGATAAAAACACTATTTGCAATGTGGATAGAGAAAGAAATTTAATCTGCTAATTCCACTCAGCTGTTAACATTCAAGTGAGTTCAGAAATCTGTAATTATGTTTTGACTCATTTAAACAAGGGCTGCATGATATGCAAAAGTAAAATCATATTGCGATTATTTTGGCAGATATTGCGATTGCAAAATGGTCACAAGACCACTGTGCATTGGTTTAAGTACATAAATGATATGTAATTAAATATTACTAGCAGCAGCCTAATAATGGTTAATTGAAGCTGTGGACTACTCTCTAAAATGTAACACAAACTACTGTATCAGGCCTCTACCTTTCTTAATACTTGTATAACTTTGGTACTCCATCAGTGTTGTTACATCCAATTAGAAAATACACAATCAGAAATAACCTGTAATCATCATCTTTTCTGTTACATTCTACTGTTTTTATTGTACCATTAAAAAATTTTAGATGCATGCTTTGCTCTCTTCTCTGACTACAAACAAGAAGGGCATCATTCAAGATGAGACTTACAGACACAAACAACCACAGCAAAAAAAAAGACACTGAGATATAAGGGAAGACAAAGGTCATCATTTGCCTTTTATTGTCATCCCATCCCTCATAACTTCTGTCTACCTATCTTCTTCTGTCATTCTCTCACTCTAAGATTTATCTCTTTTTTGACATCATTAATCAACAGTTTTGTAATGTAGCTCACTACCCTCTTCATCCATTCCTCCTGTCTCCCTGCACTGATGAATGGAGCCAACAATAAAATGAGCAAGCAAGTAATTCACTGGTAGTGGTGCTCTCACTGCCAAAATCCAACAAGGCAAACTCAAGGATAAGCTCTGGTATGAAGGGAATGTCAAATTGTGGAGACGCACAAGCTGCAGAAGCGCAACTATAGGATAATTTTGGTTTTGCTGCCTCAATGTCATACTCCTGTCTCTTTTCCTGGCTCTGGTGAAGACAGAGATAAAAAATGTTCTGTATAAGGATTTGGCCTAAGATATAAAAGAAAGAACAAAAATAAGAAAAAAAGGAAATAATGATTCTGTCTGTGCCCTGATTTTTAGGCAATAACCTACTCCAAAAATCCTGACAGCTGACAGAACACTGAAGGTGTGTTTTTAAAAATGCTTGGTACATTTTGTGTTAGACACCTTCACAAAGTGGTGAAAATAAAACTTGTGTGGCCATGTATTGGTAAGTATTTTCTCAAAGTCCCACCTCATATTAGTAATGGAATATACTCCTGTGTCCATTTTGGGGCCTGATTCAAAAAGGTAGCATAGACTTGTTGTAACCCATTTAAAATTTGAAGAGCACAATTTTTGGTTGACTATAAAATACTTGTTTTATGTGATGAATGAGTACCGTTTTAAAAATCATATCATGACCCATCACAGAATGAAGAAAATGTTTAATACAATTATTCTATGCATAAATATTTTCAAAATTAAAATGATCTGATACGTGAAAGCGATACCCATTTGACTTTAACAAGCCTTTCAAAAGGTTCCTACTGTAACGGGAATGTGACCTTTGACTTTCACTGAGCCTAAGAAAATAAATGGGATGGTGGCGATGTGTTTTTGTTTCAGGCATTATTTCAGTCTTTTCAAGTGCATTCAATCAGTAACTAACATCGGTTTTATAAGACACCACGGGGTACTCAAATATCTAATTATCTAAAGAGTTATGTCACTGTAATCACTGGGAGCACCATAGCTCCCTCTGCTTCCCAGGCAACAAGTTCAACTCAGGCTAGTCGGAGGATATCTGGCTGAAGTTATTCAGAAACAACATGTAGTTCCACAAGATTCAATCGGACGAAGTTCATTTTTAGTCCTTATATGTTGGTATCTGAGGTACATTTAACAACACTAGTTTGCCAGCAGGCATCTATTTGTACCTTTTATGACAATAACGTCGAATGCTTTCTATCTGTCCAGGACT